ATCCCTGTGCGAGCAGCGCTCCGGCGAAGCGCCCCACGGAACAACGGCCCCACCAAGAGGCCCGAGGCCTCGAAACCCCCCCAGACCCCTCTCGGASTGGCCGCTGGACAAGGACGGGCGGACCAGGCCTGGCATCAATGCGGCTGCAAACCCTTTGCTCCTCCGGCTGCTGCTTCTTTCAAGGAAGCATTTAAAAATAACCTTTCGTGTAAAAATAGTTCAGGGAGAGGAAAATAAATACATCATTAATTTGGAAATTTACTGATCGAGAATAATTAAAACTTCGGGGCTAGCGAGCTGCGCTAACGAGAAGGTGAGCCGAGGACAGCGCGGCGAGCGCTGTTGTTAGCAACACCTCAAGCAGCGCCCGTGATTGCCGTGGCACCGTCTTTTCCAGCACGGAGCCTGCCGCGAGTTTCCTCTCTCTGCCCAAGCAGTCTCAGCTCTTGTTTCCCCCGGCTTTGCTGAGCACAGCGCTGCAGCCCGGRGTCCCTGGCCCCAGGCTCTCCCAGCTGCTGCCTCCACCTCGGACCCCTCTAAACCCTCTTGAACCCTCGAGGCAACAAGAGCACAGGACACAGGAAGCAGATTTCAAAGCAGCTCCGAAGTCTCTTCCCAATTTCTGAGCATTTTGGATCCAATTCCTCATGATCGCCAAAGAGAATTTAGAGCAAAACAGCGTTTGCCAAGCAAATAGTTCACAACCTCCCTTCGTATTCTGCATCATTTTTTCCTCTATGAAAAAGCACATTTAGGATGTCCTGTCCCGTGACCATGGTACCTGCTTCCTGCCCCTCTGGGCAGTTTGATAGCCAGGAGCCTTTCTGGGGACGCACAGATGCTCTCATGCATTATCCTGCACCCCTTGCAAAGAGCACCACCCCCGAGGCCTCCCCTTTCAGCTCAGTTCACAGGCTTTTTCCCCACCTGGGCCCTTCACCCAGGCTCCTRGGATAGTGTCTGGCTCCCCTGGGGCATGTTCCTGTCATAGGAAGCTGCAGAGCTGCAAGGTCGCTTCATGCAGCAGGTGACTTGTGTCATGAAATCCTCTAGATAGAATTACTCCGCTATTTTTGCATTTTCATTATTATGAAATCTTTCTTTATTATAACATCTCTATTTTGCAAGCATCTCTGCTTCCTGGTTATTTCCAGGGACACTACTCTCTGTTTCAGTTACTGCAGGATATTTCCAGCAGGTCCATGGCTGCGATGCTTGGACACACTTATCACAGCAGCCCGTGACTCCTCACCTAGGTTAGAACTTCCATACTGAAATGCCTTAGTCCAGCTAAAATGCAGGCCCAGAACAGACAATTCTGCATGACTTTTCCTTGCTCTTCTGTTAGTTCGCTGTTTGCCAGCTCTCCTGCTCTTTTCAAGGACGGTTTTGCTGGTTCTTTCCCTGGACTTGCTGCACAGTTGCCTCGACTGCAACCACCATAAAAGCTACAAACAATGAGGCAAGTAGCCAAGCGCTGCTGGCAGGAGAGGGGTGTTAGCATTCCCTTTATTTGGGTTTCCTGCTCTGTGTTTTGTCTTTCCATTGAAAACAGCCCCTCCTCTCTGCCAAGAGGCTCCTTCAGCAGCGAGGACAGGCGGACTGTCCTCCGAGAGGCTGGGCTTGGGTCACACTAACAGACGTCGTGGCCTCTTATCGGACAAAATCTGTTTCCCCGAGTCCTTCGCTGCTTGGCCATGGCTCTTCGTGAGCAACTCGGCTGGGATTTAGCCCGATTAGGCACTGAGCTTCTGCGGCACCCCTGCTGCGACTGCAAAAAGTCACAGTATTGCAGCATTAAAGGACAGTATAGGAGTAGCAGTCACCGGCCCGAAAGCAGGTCTCAGAACTGGAAAAGAAAGACAACACTCAGCAGGGCAAATATATCAGCTCGTCACGAAGGTCTTAAATGCAAATAAGCAAAAAAAATGCAAAAAAATGCAAAAAGAACAGAAGGGATATCGATTTCATAATGTTTAATATTTGCAAGTTTAATAATGATCCAAATTTAGGTCACTGTGGAATTAATTACGTAAACACCCCCGTCCACCCCCAAAAAATCTGGATTGTGCTGCTTCCAGGGAGCATTGCTTTCCTAACATGCTGCAGGAATAATTGTGTTACTCAGGCCTGATACTCCGAACAAATTCCTTGGCACAGGCTCCGTTTCAACTGATGCCATCTAAAAGATTTTTTCCTGTCAAAAGGAAGACAAATATTGCATGTGCAATACCTCTACGATGCCTTGGCTTTAACCTGTAAGTAGTTTTAACTGGAACTATTGTCGCTACCGAAGTTCTCCTGCTCCAGCCGCACTACATATACATGCAATTTTAAAGAATTTAAGTTACAGCTTCCATTGTCATAAACTGACATAACATTATTGGGGTTTTACAGTGTAGGATCGCTCTGGGGAACAGCAAGCAGCTGTTGAAAGCTTTTCCCCCTAAGCCTTTTGTGTGGTTCTGATCACTCCCCAGGGCAGTTAAGAGCCAAATGCAGATGATGCGAACCTGCTGAGTTTGAAAAGTATGAGGAAGGCTCGCTGTTCAGAAAGCATAAAAATAGGTGGACGTGGCGGCCTGCAGTGAAGGCGGGTCTGCAGCAGCGTGAGCCTGGCTGGTACCTGCAGGGTGCGAGGGCAGAGCCCGCGCTCAGGGCGAGCGCCCGGCCAGCCCCTTCCAGCACTTCCACAACCTGCTCCCTGGGGCACTTCCCAAGACTACCAGATTTAAACCTCGGCAGCCGGGAGCTCTGTACTCGGGCCCTTGCTGCTCCCTATCAGCTAATTTGATCAAAACGGGAACGTACTCAGAGCTGCTGCTCATCCTTCGCTAACCACCAAACCCTTTAGCAGTTACCTTCAGCCTTGTCACGGCGCTGGGGTCCGTGACGAGCCGAGCACCAGCAGCACTCCAGGTACAGCTCCACTACGGTTACATAAGGCTTTGTGTTGGTGCTCGTGGTTCCAGTATTTCACACGATTCCTTTTCCAAAGCACCTGAAGGAAGCAGCCTCCACACCCAGCTTTAATTTCAGCGAGACGCTTTCTTGCCGGGGTGAAAGCTGAGACAGTGCCTGCTTTGTACGGCCCATCTGGTAACAAACACTTGCTGTGCACCAAGTTCAGCACGAGGACACAGATTTGGAATTTTGTTTTAATCCTCAAATAAACTAGGTAAACAAGTTTGTTAATGCCTCTTTTGTTTAGGCGAAATTTTGGCCCTCTTGGACCCATCATCATGGGAACCGCAAGGGAAAAAGGAATGAGAAGAAGCGGGTGTCCCTCACTGCCTCGCAGGCGAGTCGGTCCCGTGCTGGGGACAGCATCAGCCCCACGGCCTCGTCAGGCCCTCGGGGGCTCCTAACGGGCTCGGGAACCACGTGGTGACATTGCACATCTGTCCCGGGCAGGCAACCGGTTAACAGGAAACAGCAGCAAAAAGCAGCAAAACAAAATCCAAGGAAACGAACAACCACCCGAACCCAGCATAATGAATGGGAAGAAATGACTGTTCTTCCAAAGGGAAACAGCAAGGGGCAAGATTTGACGATGGCAAAAAAGGTTACTTGGAGCAGCGAGACGAGACTGGCTGCAGAAAGTGCAGAGCAACTGCATGAAAAAAGGAATGTTAAAATACAGGGAAAAGGGAGGAAAAAGGGATGCTTACGGAGGAAGCGGACACTTTCCCACCACCATCCCAGGCATTTCTGCAAGCCCCTTTCCTCAGGCTAATTGGAGCTGCCTACAATCAGATCATCTGACTTCTGTGGAGAGCAGCCCAGACTTCCCACAATTAACCCTGACTAAGATAAAGTTTTCTAAAAACATGTGCCTTCCAGCTTCAAAACTTTCCATTGATGGAGAATCCACTATAAATCTCACAAAACTGCTCTCATGGGAAATCGCTTACTGATACGGGAATAAAAGTCCCCATTTCCAGCTTGAACTGCTCTGTCTCTAATATGGAGCTACCGGCTTTTTTGAACCACCATCCTTTAGCTCAAAAAGCCCTTTTATAAAATTTCAGTTCCATGTGCAAGTACTTCCATGCTGTGATTTTTTTTCCAATCCTTGCAGATTTTTGTATTGCTGTTGTTAAATCAAGCAAAATATCTTGTAGGATCAAGTCAAATGCCTTATAGAAGTCTACGCAGCACATCAGTGTTCTGGAACATAGAAATATGTTATCCCGATTAGATCTACTTTCCATAAACTGATGTTGACAACTGATGTTGCTTAATTTAAGACCTTTATTAATGTATGGCTAAGTGGCCTATCACCTTTATCCCTTAAAAATGTAGCTAAACGGAATTTTCCAGATCTTTCCCATTGGCTTTTCCTTGGCTCACGTTTATGTTCCTCATATTCTTTTTAGGCTAGACTAACCCAAACGCAGACCACCAGGCCATTAGGACAGCACGGGACAAGCACGGCTTGCAACATGATACTCAAGAGCCAGGAAGTCACTCTGGGTTTACCCAGGTTGTGGGGGTCAGCCCAGCAATTCAGTGTAATAGACAAAACAAGGAAAAAGTCCTGCAGGGAGAAAGGCCTTTAAGGGGCAATAAGCAAAAAGGGAGGAAAAGAAGAACATATTACTCTAATTCCAAGAGAAACCCATCATTATGCATAAATCCCAACTGGATTTTTTTCCCCCTTTTTCAATGCAGGAGAAGAGGCTGCAATTGGGGGTTTTTATTTCATTTAGTCTAGATTCACAGTAAGAAAGTGAGTTTTGTTTCTAATATGTGTGAAAGGGTGGGACTTTGGGAAGAAAGAAAATCCCCAGGAAGCTGCGTGTCGGTTCCTGTTTCTGGTATCACCACAAGAAGTACAAAAGCACCCAAACAGACCAAAATCCAAGGTTTAAATAATTTCATAGCATATACATGTTAAAGGGACAAATACAAATATTACAAAATGAACTGAATTGCTTTTAAAATACTTATATTTGTTTAACCGTTAAAAACAGACACATACAGAAAGAGGTAGCAAAGCTAACAATTTCCCACGGCTGCAGTTAGTGCTGCCTGCATGCGCTGGGGGAGCTACCTGGTACTGAATCTCTGGGCATCGTTTCTGGAAAGGGCCGTAGACAAGTTGCAGTTTATTTCTGACAACGCTACGTGAAAGATTGAGGCAATCCACAGGCTCAGCAGCAGCTGTTTCACGTTGTCTGTCTGGCTTAACAAAAAGGCATTGAAAGAGAAAGGTTATCTGTGTTTTACTACAGAGAGAGAGTGCGCGCAGGCACGCACACCAGCGGGAGCACACACATACACACGGAGCAACGGGACACTGCACTTGCCCTGCCACGGAGGGAAGGCAAGGTAAGACAAGGGCTGTTTGTCCCCGAGTTCGGATAGCTGCAGTTTGGTATAAGCTTGGTCCCTTGGATATCGCCATCACTTTACAGACTCGGGGCTCGAAGCGGAGCACAAAGGGTTCGGGAAGCCGGACATCCACACCGTGCGTGCACACACTCTCTCTCACACCCTCTCTCAGGCTTTCCAATGTTCCAGCAAGGGCAGTTCAAGAGGACTTCCCATCCAACATGTAATAGCGATACATTAAACCTAGCACCAGCGCTCCGAAGATGGGGATTAGCCACGTTGACCAGAAACTACGGGGAGAAAAGAAAAACCCACACACAACACAAAACAGAAGAAAGAATCAAGTTATTAATTTATTCAAGATGCTGAGCACTTATTACATGCCTGTTTTGAGCTAGGAAACCCTCCAGAGCTGCCTCACCAGCTGACACCCCAACCCCGTAGGTCTCGGATCCCCTGGCAGGACAGCCCCAGCCTTGAGCTCTGCCGGCCCCTGAGCGGGGCCCCTGTTGCTGCAAGGATGGCTTAGTTGCTTATAAAAGAGCAGCTGAGCTGCTGAGGTTTCCAGCAGAGCACATACAGAAACCAATTTGTTTTTTTGTTTTGGGTTGTTTTCTTAAATAAGCCAGGCTGTAATTTGCGCTATACAAACAGCTGAGTTGACTCAAGGATGGAAATTGCTACAGCCATCCCACAATAAATCTTCGCTCATAAACCAGAAGCCACAGGCAGTGCTAGGAACTCACCTTCAGCAGCCTCCTTAGCAAAAACAGCTCTGCATCAGCTACAACAGATCTGAGCCCTGTCCTGGTTGAGGGAACGCTGAAATTTCAGCTAAACTAGGCTGTTTGCTAGAAAGACCAAAACAAAATGCACAGGATACTCGGTGTGTGCAGCCTGACAACGTGTTTTGGACTATCTGCTTGCTGGGAGGCCAGCGCAGTAACATTGCTGAGGGTTTTGTTCCCTTTACGCTAGGGTTAATACATAGTTCTACAAACAGCAAGTCCCAATCCCTTCATCTCTTAGTTTAAGAAGATACTGTACCTTGTTTGGCCTGAGGACGTCACATTTGGGTCCTGAAGGAGGAAAGGGAATGGAGTGAGCAGGAGAAGAAAGAAACATCACACATGTGCTAATAAAACTACAAGGCTGAATATGTGATTACAGAAACAGAGGGAAAAAACGTCCCTCTTTCCCCCCAAACACCCTCTTTCCTGTCTGTCAGCAAAGTGGGTGCCTCCGTCCCCACCTCTGCATTCTTTCCATCAGTCCGATTCCTGCCGCCCCGTCCTCACCCTCACGCTGGCAGCGACACCTCTTTCAAAAAACCAGCCCTTGCTCATCACCTCTCAGTTCCCTCCGGCTCCTCCCTTGCATGCACACTGCTTCCAAACTTCAGTATTTCTTCCTTCATAAAGTTTTGAGGATTTAACCACTTCTGTGCAGCCATCTGAAATTCTCACGAGGCTTCCGTCAGCAATCCTGGCTATTGCATAGGCTCTTCCTCTGCGGCCTGGCTGATGCAACATTACTGCTCTCCGCTCTAATCAACCTTTACCTGTTCCAAATCCCCCTTCCTGCCCGTCCTACGGCACTTGGGCAGGGTTCGCTGCTTCCCGCCTGCCAGGATGGGCTCAGGGGATGCTCAACAGGGACCCTTGTCTGGGGAAGTCACCTTGCAGCTGAATCCCAGGAGTGGTGCTGGGAGTATTTCCTTTGGTGTCCCCTCTCCCATTTTTCTCATGCTATTGACTTCTATCTCTTCCTATTATTTTTTAAAATATGCCCAAATATAATTTAAATCTGATTTTGCACACTGAGAAAAAAACAAACAAACCTCAGCTCTTAGTTGTTAATAAGTCACTGTACTTTCTCCCTAGAGGAGGTTTTTGTGAATTTTGGTAACAATAGAAATCAATTTTCCTGTTCACCAGTGAACAGGAGATTTAACAAATCCTTCCTTAGATAGTATTATAATATATGATCTATTTTTAAAAATAGATCCAAACAAAAACAAAAAAAAAAAAGCAAAAGTATTTAACTCCTAAATCTAAGAAAGCTATTGAGATTAATACCTATTTTTATACACACTTCAGGCCTGTGATTCCATATGTGAAGTAGAATTGAATCAAACAATAAGATTAATTGGAAGATTAATGGAAGATTAATATATGCATAATCATGCAGCTCCACTTTATAACTAAAGGTAGGTTTTACCCAGCCTGAGCTGCTGTTTCTGTGGCTGCCTGTGACAAACAAACATTCCCAAGGGCTGCAGTTGCTGCGCGCTCCGCTGACGGCTTCCGTACCGATTCCTGGTACTCTGCAAGTGGCCCTGCTTCGAACAACATCTAATGAAAGCGTTGTTGAAGGCAGAGCTGTCGCTGCTCCAAGCCTTCACGCCAACCAAGAGGAGCAGCCAGCTGCGAGGCACATGTTTACCTCTCAAAGGGGATTCTATTTATTACCATTTCCCCAACCATTTCAGAGACATTTTTGCAACACTGTGCCCCATTCTGATCCAGACGTACCTGAGTTTTAAGCAACACCAGTGATTTCTCAGGCAGTCAACAGAGAATTCTTGTTTTACAGCCAGCCCCACAGTGGCTGTGCATGTCTCCTGGCTTGGATGCAAGAACACTAACAGCCCAGGGATCAGGACACAGCGAGTTGTTAAAAAAAAAAAAAAGGTCTGTGGCTCAAGGTGTGGAAATAACATCACTGATGGCAGGCAAGAGAGGGCACAAAAACACTTCCAATTTCACACTGAAATGCCTGCTGAGCTCCTCAGCAAAAACAAAGGAATCATTTGCTTGGCAGATTTACTCGTTACTGTAGTTTGCCTAAACAAAGCCAAAAGCTCAAAAGAAAAAAAAAAAAGGGGAGGTTGACTCAACTTCTTCATTGTTGGAGCCTTGGGCAGTGAGGCGCAGCGTGCAGCGCCTTGCCCAGAGTTCAGGAGGGATTTTCATGTAATTAACCCAGCTCCTCCTACTGCTTTGACAAGAATTCATAGCAGCAGCTCAGTGTCTCTTCTGTCAGACCTGCAGCCCCCAAATCAGCATAAACAATTTATATCTTGCTTCCAGCACCACTTGTATTTCTTCTAACTTCATGTGGAGGCACAGCCCAGGCTGGGCTATGCTGTTTTGGATCTAGGCAATGTCTACTCCTCTTGGCTAGGACAACTCATGTCATGTCAGCAGAGGCTCGTGGAATTTGTTAGAGCAGAAGAGTCAAAATTCAGAAGCCTAGTGACTGTAAAAGAGTTGGTTCAAAGCCGGGTTCACAACCCACACTGCTCTCTGTGCTACCTCTCTCAGCTTGCCCTAGCTGCACACCATGGCCGTGTAAACTTGACCACCCCAAAAACAGTGCAGGAAAAACAGCTATTCATAGAGAATGCATGTCTGAATATGCATTAAGAGAGAGCTCCAGCCTTCCTCCAGGAAACAGAAAATAAGTGAGGAAATTAGCAATATCTCTTCACTCCCCTTTTGGGAGCCCCACCATGACTGGCACTGAATGGAGCACCCCTGTCCCAAAAGCACCAGTCTATGAGACTGAAGTAATTCTCCCGTGTAAGTAGAACTTTTTCTAGATGTCTTCAAACTGTTTAATTAATGCAAGTGCACAGTACTTTTATTTAGYGCAAACCCCAAAGATGTTATAAAAAGCAGAATATACTAATTTAACATAGTRTAGTTGCCTCAGCATTAAAATGGAAGAGTATAACACTAATAGCTTACCTTAGAACCTTCATTCTTACGGTCATGCTGTTAAGGGGRAAAAAAAAGAAGAAAAAAATAAGCATTAACTTTAAGAGAGGCCAGCAGTCATCATAAAGGAGATGCTCTGTACACAGCCCTTATCACATCCAAAACTGTTTAGACTCCAGTTTCCAAAGCAATTCCAATGGGCAGGAGTCGGTGGTCGTGCTGGGCCCCCATGAACTGCCACCCTCCAAGACTCAAGCTGCAAGACAAGGCGAAGTCACCGTGCCACCAAGGAGGGAACTTGTTAGATTGGCTTCTTCAATGACACTCGTGTAACTGCGGTCAGAAATCAGTTTGGAATGGTGGAAAGAGAAGACTAATTCATTTCCCCCACAGGGGCCCTAACTCCCTGCTTATTTTGCAAGGCACATCTTGGGGTACTTGTTTGCTGGGTTACCTCAAAGAGGGTCACGCTTCTACACAGTGCTTGGAAGGAGGCTGCTGTGCCCAGCGGGCCCTTACCGGGTGGATCTCCCCTATGTAGTAGTCCTTGAGCATTTCCCTGGCATCCACGGAGTGCCCCACATCTTCAAAGCTCTCCGTGGCATCTCTGCCAGCCTGTTCGAGCAAAACCTCTTCTCCACCTGGATGCTGCAAAAGAAAGAAGACTTCAGGTGAGCAAAAAGGGCCCCTCTCTTCTATCCCCTTCAGGATGCCACAGATGCTTCAAGACAACATCACAGAGAAGCCTCACTGCAGATTCAAGTGCCAACTGCTCTGCGCTCAGTCACAGACAACTGTCAGACCACAACCCTAACGTTAATCAGAGGTGTCTGATGTGTCACAAACGGCCTGGGCGGTCGCACTCCGGGGCGAATTATTTTCCTTGAGGGCTCGGGCTCCTCGCTAGCGCTGTCAGTACCGGGACTCCAGGAGAGGGCCACGGAAAGCACAAGGCACGAGGCCAGCAAAGCACCATCTCTTTACAGCGTGTGCACACGTGCATATGTGAGCAAACCGTTCAGTTTAAACCATCAGTTAATCCAGTTAAACCCATAAAGTAATCGGGATTCTGAGCACACATGCAGGGACTAGTGCAGTTCTCTAGAGCATCAGGGAACTAAATACACCAGTTGACAAGATGAGACTTGTTCACAGCTGCCTGAACATATCCCTACAACCAACAAGTCTGGAACAGAAGAGACGTTGGACTGAATTCCAGATCAAAGGCCTGAAACACCTGCTTCAGCAGTACCGTTTTTCTTCACACAGGCACACACCACTTGTCAATGCCCCTCTGCCTTCAGGCTGTTTTTGCTGCCAAAASCCTAGATATCCCCTCTCAGATATCACCCCTCATACCAAACACATTCAGCTAGAGACACAAGGCCAGGCCGCTTGTTTATTCCAGCGAGTTGTTGCGGCCAGTTTTGCAGTCCTCAGGCCAGAGTTCTTTATTCCGAATAAATGCCTCTGTTGACCGAGTGCGTAAGAAAACCCCCACTGTGGAGCCTTCTCAGCAGCCACGCGGGGCAAAGTCCGCGGCGCGAGGAGGCAGCTCGGTTTTACAGCCAGGGCAATGGAAGGAGGAGCTGCCGCAAGGCTCCGCGCGCTGCCGCTCCGCCTGCCCCAGCTCCTGCCTGTTTGATCTCTGCCGCTCAGGGACTAGCCCAGCAGGAAAACAAGGGAAATGGAATTGCTGCCTGCCCACGGGCTGGGGCACGACCACCCCTCAGACCATCTCTGCTGCTTTAAGCCTTCAAGGACCCCTTAAGGGCGTCTCACCAGAAAACTCATTTCAAATGGAAAAYTACCAGACTAGGATTTTAAAGAATTAATCTTATTTTCCTCATCATCAACTCTAAAAGAACAGGCAAAAATCCCCAAAATCAGGGAAAATGGAGGGTATATTAGGTAACAACCAATCTTTACATATACAAACGAAGAAAAATGATACAGCAACTACAAGAGAAAAGAACAGTAGAATTTTCTTCTTATATGTTTGTCGGAAGCCTTTCTATGCACCTGTTAACTCCACAAGTRACAGAAAAAGAAGAACTTTATTTGTGCATATTTGTCCTTCACTATAATCCCTAGGTCAAAAAAAGAAAAAAGTCTTCAGCAATATTTCGCATATTGTCCTTCTGTCCCAGTCTAGACACCCACATCTGCAGCCAGACAGTTCCTACCTCGTCATACCTGAGCAAATGCAAAACCAGACTATTTATACAAGAAGTCATTACTCCACCACAGATCTTCCCAAAACTACAGCTCCTGTAGGAAAACACAGAAACTGCAAGAAGCATGAGAGACTCAGAAGAAAAACTCTGTTTACAGAGGAAATRATGGCTGAAATGAAGGTTTGCTCATTCTGGAACGAAGTGGACAACAACGAGCAAGAGCCACGAAGGGGTGRGCCCCGGAGCCCCACAACAAGAGTAATGTAACCGGCACTGCCTTGTCACCGGAGTCAGGAACACGCACAATAAATAAAATACATCCTGAGGGCAACASTAAGAGCCTCTTAGCACCAATTCTGGAAGGATATGACCAGCAGCACTGCATGCAGAAAACAGGGAGCTTTATGGGGAGAACACATGCTCATTTGGAAATGAAAAGCTCCACAACCRTCACTAGCACAAGGTTCTCTGTAGAGTTCCCAACCCACAGAGCGCAAGAAGAGCTGCCCTTGTCGCAGGCTTGTCCCACGGCGGGGTAAAACCCAAGACCTACTCGTAGTCTGCAACACTGATGGACAAATCTGGGATACAGTGATCCCAACCTAGACCCATTCCACTTGGAAACTCATTCAGGCGGATTTCCAGGCACACTTGTCACAGGTATGGTCAGCACCAGCACATGCCAAGACACAAAGCCCTGCTGGCTGCAGGAGTCAGATAACCCCCAAAAGGGTATCCCAAGGAAGTGCATCTCTGACCTTTTCTAGTCTTAGSTAAAATGGAGATAAAACACATCCTTCTGTCACAGGAATGAGTATGTTACAGACTGTGCACAGGTTAAAAGCCACAGACTCTAATATCAGCTCAAGAGCCTGTCAGAGAGGTGCATGTGCCTTCCTCCAACCTCCTCACCTATCTGCCCAAGGAGCCCGTTTTGCTCTTGCCATAGTCTACACTGGCTTTCCTGGACTATTGCAGTTCTGGGTATCATTTGTATCATGCACATTGGAGGTCTCCTTTACCTAGATTTGAAAGAAAAGTAGACAGTTTGAAATCGGGGATAGCTTTACGGCAACAATCACACTTCATTTTTAAGCACATACAAGCTCTATACAGATTCCAAGTTTCTTGGAAACATCTATGAAATTTTAGATGCTGTCTTTGCACATCTCCATTTTGTTCATGTTCTTATAATTCAGCAGGCTTCTGCTAGGTGATAATTATGTCTTTGTTGTTTCTATTACAGAACAAATGACGTAAATTAGGAGTTTAAAATGRTCTATATTACAACCCACAAATTGAATTGGCAAACTAACGGATGAGCTGCTGTACTCARTTTGCCGGAATCACAAAGCAAAATTCCACAATATTTTAGCAGTGAGGCTTCTTAGAGATTATGCAACCCCTCTGAGATAACGCTTCAGTGCAATTCAGCAATCCTGTACAAATAATCTGTGGCCAGGGGCYAGAAAGGGCAACAATCAGACACTGCTTCAGTAACTTCACGGGATCCAGAGGAAATACCACACACTGAAGCCCTGACATCTGCAGTCAGAGCRGCTGGGAGCTCCAATGCAAAACAATCCATCAGGCACAGCAGTAACTTCTARGCAAGACAGGCCTTTCTGGTTCTCAGCATCTACACGTTGTTTCCTTATCACTGAGCTACTTAGGTAATAAAGTATACTCTTACCAATAAATTAGAGCCTGATCTACATTTACAAGTGTCACTTTGCCAGTGAGGGGTGCAGACAACTGAGATACTGCCATGCTCCTCTTTCCTTCCCTAATCCAAGTAGATCTTTTCCACGTTGCAACAAGGCAAATGGGACAAAGGGCTTGGGAAGGACAACGCCAAATACCACGGCTAGATAACCCCCAGGTCACTGCCAGGGCTGCTGTTCAGCACCTCACTCGCCCTGTGCTGCAAAGTATTTTTCTGGGGTCATTTATAAAGAGAAATGAGGAATGCTGAGTGCCTCAGGGAGCACATCCCAGGTGCCACTGCTCGCACTGGGAATGCCGAGGTGACAACCGCCCCAGCCCACGCTCCGAAACACGGGCTCGTTCACTCGCGGCTCTAGGTAAATATCTTCAAAACACTTTCCTAGCACTAACCCTGCAAAGCAACGGCCAGCAACCAGAGCTGAATGCAGAGGCAGGTGTAAGGCTTGTGCTTTCCCCACCTCCCAGCCTCCAGCTGGTTTGGGCTCGTCCCAAGCCCCAGGTGCTTTGCCAGGCGTGAATTGCTTTTCCAGGTTCTGATCTCTTCTTCCTCGGAATCCCTGTGAGTTTCTGCACCCCAGTATCCTTCAACAAGGAGCTTCCCAAGTCTGTTCCCTATTGCRTGAAGAAGCAGGCACTGCAAACAGTGCTGGAGCATCTACAGAAGCCACAAGTGATCCAAGGGCCTAGGAGCCAGGATCAATTTATGGCCCTGTAAAGAAAAGCAGCACTTTTTACTGTAAGAGTTGCAAGCAGTGCCAAAGGGACTAGAGCAAAGACTAATTCAAGCCACCAAAGACACTCAAGACACAAAGACACAAAGACGCTGAAACTCAGAAGTTCCCTTAGCAAAACAAGCTGGAGAGAAGGCTCAAGAGTGTGAGTGAGACTCCCAATGAAACGTTATGATGCTGGATCCCGGGAAAAGAGCAGCCTGTGTCCAGCGTGGCAAAGGGACGCTGGAAGGCGCCGCTGCTGCGGGCGTCGCGGGGGCCGGGAGGCTGCGGGGGTCCCGGGCGGCCCTGGCGGCTGCGCTGCCTCCCCACAGGCTGCGCCAGGGCCGTCAAACCGGGCCGCGCGGAGCCGCGGGGCCAGCCGCAGTGTCGCCCTGCGGCTGCGGGGCTAATGCCGGGGCTGGGGCTACCGAGAGCTGGGGTGACCCCCCCGGAAACGCCGCGGCCCCTCAAGCGCCCAGTCCCGAGCGGGGTCTAAAGGAGGGCTCCGACCCCGGGCCAGGAATTTCGGTGTCCCCCCCCGGCCAACCCCCCCCTTTAGCCACTCCCAGGCCTCCTGCCCCCCCGGACACCCCCGGGCTCCCTCGCTGTCCCCCCGCCGGGGCTCGTGGGGACGGGGCGGGAGCAGGGGCCGCCCCCTCCGGCCTCACCTCCGCCAGGAAGCGGGTGACATCGTAGACGCGCCCGTGGATGACGAGCCAGGCCTCGCGGCCCGAGTTGCGCCTCGCCACCTCCTCCCGGGTGTAGACGCGCGCGCCCGGCGCCCCCGCGCAGCCCCCGGCCTCCCCGCGCCCCTCCGCCTCCATGCCGCCCGCCAGCCGCTTCGCGGAACCACGCGCTTGGCCTACGGCAGCCGCCGTAGCCGCCGCCAACGCCCCCCTTCCCGCCCCGAGCCTGCGGCGCGCGCCGGGGGCCGCCGCCTCGCAGCCAATGAGCAAGCCCGGCGGTGGTGCGACGCCTGGCGGCTAATCAGAGGCGCCGGCTGCAGCCAATGGGAGGGCGGCGCGCGGCGCGTCGGCCAATGGGGAGGCGCCAGAGCGAGGGGCGGGATGGGCGGGAAGCGGCGCGGCCGCCGTGAGGCGAGGGGCGGCGGCGCGCGGGAGGGGGCGCCGGGAGCCCCGGGCGGTACCGGGAGCCCCGGGCGGTACCGGGAGCCCCGGGCGGTGCGAGGAGCGCGCGGGCTTCCCCCAGCCCCCTGCTGGCACGGGAACCCCGGGCTCCTGCCGAAGCCTGGGGACGTTTCGGTGGCGACACGTGCACTGAACTGCAGGCTGCTGCACAGCCGCCCCCTAAATTCAGCTGGGTGCCACGGCATGATGGTTATTCAGGCAGCCATAAAGCCGGGGTGTTCCCCTCAGTGCTTTCATCTGCGCTAGCCTTTACATCATAAAATCACAGAATCATTACGGTTGGAAAAGATCTTCAAGATCATCGAGCCCGGCCCTAAACCCACCGCCGCCGTGCCTGCCAAACCAGGTCCCCGAGTGCCTCACGGACACGCTTCCTGAACGCGGCCAGGGACAGCGGCTACACCACCTCCGCGGGCAGCCCCTTCGCTCCCTGCGGTTGCTGCGACTTCCCCAGGCCAAGCCCCAGCTCCGCAGCTCTGTCCCGCTTGCTCCGGCCGTGTTCGGAGCRGCTGGCCCAGCCGCGCTGCTCCTGCAGCCTTGGCCTCCTCCTGCCGTGGCCATTCGCACTCTGGAGGCTTCTGTCTCATGTCTTCCTCTCCAGTTATTCTGGAGTAATATTCCTGCTTCAGCAGCAGCTGTACATTCAGGTACCTTCTCCATTAGGGCAAGTCATCCATATACTAAAACAGAAATTCTTGCGCTATTAAAATGTTACTGACACTTCCTCACAGTTACCGAACCAATGGCTCAGCCTCAGCGGGCTTGAATATTGTGCTTTTCTTCTCTTTCAATCCTTTTTGCATCTTAGTCATGGATGTTTCCCTGACTCCCCATGTAACCAACATGTCCTCACTGACATGATCCTACCTCTTAGCACCCAAGTGGCAGCTAACCCTGCTGTTTCTTACTGTATAACATGTCTAAGGGAGAAGCTTTTTTTAGCTGTTTTTCCTTTGCCAGCCTGTGTACTGTAAACTCTACGGCAGGATTTCATCACCTTGCGCCACTGTTGCCACAATATCCTCCTGCCCGGCCTTGGCAGGCACACTCGTGCATTAGTTCACACGAGTGCTGCTGTAAGGATGCTTTTCCCTTCCTGCTTTCACCCCTGTGCACTCCTGCTGGCCCCAGCCTCATGGTCATAAAAATCCGTCCTTCCCCAGAGCCGTCATCACACACGATGGCTCCTCTGTTCTGTCTCCAACATCAAATACTCATCTTTTGAGGCTGGTTCAGAGTATCTGTTTCTGTAATTTAGTTAATTTTCRAACAAGCCCCTTCATGCTTTCTCTGTGCAGCTTTCACACCTGGAGGTTCTCAGCATAAACTGCAAAGCAACTTCACCATCCTCTGCAGCATTTCCCTTTCCRTAGGACTACAAACATTTGGCACCCAACGTGTTGGCACCTCTTCTTCTGCAGCTGWCCGCAGTCTTTGTGAGCTTGGGGTCTGCATGGAGCTATATCTGTTTGGCACTTGTACATGACGCTCACGACTGGGCTTTCTAGGCACATGAGCAGTATAAATAACGATCACRTAAGCACACGAGTCCCATATTTACTGGGGAACAGGAATCGGTYGCTGTCTGTCCCTGCTGTCAGGCGCCAGCGGCATTTGGAAACCACCGCGTGCCCGGAGAGGCACCGCACAGGCCGGTGCTCCACGGAATGTGTGGTCACCGCCGTGGCCCCGCTGATTTCCCTGTTTTGTTTTCCACCGTAACTCACAGAGCAGGACGGATGCGAGACCCCCGTGACAGGCGGATCCTGCTCCCTGGAGTGTTTCCTTTCATGTGCAATCGCTTCATCAAAACCTGTAAATCAGCGCGTTAAGACAACAAAGCACAAAGGGGGCTGCAGCATGTGCCTTCCTGCCCCGTGTTTCCTTTGGCGCGCGGAGCAGCAGGGCTTTTCCTCAAAGGGAACCGCCGGTGACGCTGGGCGAGGATTCAGCGAGAGGGAACAGCGAGGCCGCTCGTGTCCTGGGCCTGGCCGCTTCCATCATCCCGGTTTCCTTCTTAGGAGGTTGACAGGAGCAAAGCAACAGGGCAGAACCGTTGCTGCCGCCCAGATCACGGGTGTTGTACGTGCTGAAGCGTCACCTTGGCCCGGGCAGCACAGCCGGCCGCTGCTTCCGAGCACCCTTCCCARCGCCTCGTGGTGCCGCGTGCTCCGRCAGCCGGGCCAGGCGCCCAGGGGAGAGCGGGCCCCTCCTTGCGCCCATTGCTCCTATCGGCCTCGCTGCCGGTAAAATCCCCTCCCGCTTTTACTGCTCCGCAGCCGGCACGCTGCTCTCGCACGGAAGGGCGGCTCCCGGAGGACCTCACGCCGCAGGAATTTCCACGTGCTTTTCCAGCACAAAAATAGCCCCAAGAGGTGCGGCTGACCAGAGGTGCTGGTGATGCTGCCTGCCAGGCGGATGGGCCTCACAAGCGATGCCGTGGCCCCGCGTGCTGGGAAGGGCCGCTCCGGCCAACGCGRCTCCCCGAGGAGCGGCTCCGCAACTCCCAGCTCCCACGTTTTGAGCGAGAACCCGCGTTTTGAGCGGGAATTGGCGTTTTGAGCGAAAACTCGAGCTTTGTGGCGCGCAAGGGCCCAGCCTGGCCCGGCCGCCAGGGGGCAGTGGAGGGAGCGGCGCCGCGGGGCACGCCGGGAGCGCGGGCATGCTGGGAGTTGTAGTCGCCGMCCGGTGCGCGCGGTGCATGCCGGTCGTCGTAGGCGCCTGCTGGGCTGGAGAGGCGGGAAAAAGCCTCTCGGTATAAAAGCTTCTCGGCTGCTCGACGTCACTTCCGTCGCGCGGGCGGGCGGCACTTCCGGGCGGGATGGTGGGGCGGCGGACGCGGGCGGCTCCGCGGCGGGCGGCG